AGTACAATGTCTCTTACCTTAAACGTAAAGCAATAGGAAGATCTGACTCACAGAGGATGTCATACCTGGATCTGAAGATTGAGAGTTAATTGGTGAAGTGCGTAGCATATCATGAGCTTTTTCAACCATGGAACGACGAGAATAAATTTGAAAATTAGGATGAGATATCGAGTTGTGGAATCTGATGAACTAGATAACTCAGGTAATAAAGATGAAGGGACTGGTAAAACAGGAGAAGGAAAAAAGAACACTGGTCTAACTCACAAGACATACCTTACTTCATAAAATAAGGAGTGGATTCAAGAGAAAGTAACATCAGTACAAGTGAAAAAAACGATTTAAAACTTACTATAAACATCTATACCCTTTTGCGTCGTGGTATCCCAAGAAAATACACTTAATGGCACCGAGAATCTAATTTATTCATTCCGCGAAGCAAGTTGATGAACAAAACACACACCCAAAAACATGAAGAGGTAGTTTAAATATAGGGTCATGATGAAAAAGAATGGAGTGAGATAATTGGTCTCCAAGAATATTGGATGGCAGCGATTAATTAAATAACATGCAGTTAAATCTGCATCACTCCAAAATTGTTTGGGCACATTCATGTGCAACAAAAGTGTCCGAGCAACTTCAATTAAATGTTTAATTTTTCTTTCAGTAACTCCATTCTGTTGTGGAGTGTGCAGGATAAGAGGACTGATGAAAAATATCGAACTTAGTCATAAATGTATCAAAAGGAAAAATATTCTTTCGCATTATCACTGCGAAGTATACGTACAGGCACACCAAATTGATTCTTTATTTCTGTAACAAATGCACAAAAATGGAATATAATTCTGAACGATCTTTCATTAAATAAAAGCCATGTAACTCTGCAAAAAATCATCAACAAAGATTACAAAATTTTTAAAATCTAACTTTGAAGTAACTCGGCTAGGACCGTAAACATCAGAATGAACTAATAAAAAAGGTTCCGAATCCGTTTATTGACCCTAGAGGCAAAAGAAACACGATGATGCTTTTCTAATTGACAAGACTCACATTCTAATGAAGACAACTGATTCAAGGCAGGAACCAACTTCTTCAAATTTTGTAGAGACGGATGACCCAAATGACAGTGAATTTCAAGAGGGAGAAACAGTAGCATGGCACGCAATCGACCATTAGAGTGAGAAAATAAAGGACCATATGCTCACGCCCTCCACCAATCATTCTCTTTGTCTTCAAATCCTGAATGACACAAAATCAGAGAGAAAAGTAACTGAACACTGTAGAAATTTGATAAGCTTACTAACGAACATTAGATTAAAAGGCCAATTGGGGACGTAAAGAACAGAAGACAGCAGAAAAGATGGGTTAATTTCTATAGTGTCTAGTCCTTTAACTTTAGTTGTAAATCCATCAGCTAAAGTAACATGAGAGAAGGAAGTAGACTCTTCAAAATTAGAAAAATTTCTAGAGGTACTTGACATATAATCAGTAGCTCCGGAATCAATGATCCATGAATCAAAATTTTTGGAAATGGAGAGACAAGCCATAGCATTATCTTTTTGTGCTAAAGAAGTAGAGGGAAGAGATGCGTGATTTGCAGTTTGGTACTGCAGAAATTTGACAATCTTTCTCGGATATGGTAAAAGTCTTTTGGGACCCTTGTGCTGAAGAACTCGATTCAGTTTGGTTAATGGTAACTGCATTAGCAAACCGAAGTGGTTTTCCATTTAAATCCCAACAAGTATCACGAGTGTGATTCTTCAAACCACAATGAATGCACTCACGGGTGCCTCGACCTCCACGATCCCCATGACCTCTTCTACTTCTTTTTCCACGAGAGCCACGTCCAAAGTTAAGTTGCTCTATCCGATCATTGTTAGCAACTAAAGCAGATTTGTCATTAACTAGAGCACCATCACCCTGTGCATTGTCCTTAGATGCAAAACGTAAGATCCCAGCATACGCCTCTGCAAAGGATGGTAATTGTTCACCTGCTAAAATTTGAGATTTGATTGGTTCAAATTCTGACTTGAGACTGGCCAAGAATTTGAGCACAAGCACTTGTTCTCTTTGCCTCTGCATACCTGTAATATCACTTGAGAAAGGCATTACGGCATTTAATTCTTCTGAAATTTGCTTAAGATCAGCAAAGTATTCAGTTACTGTCTTGTTATCTTGTTGCAACTGAAAATACTCCAAATAAAATATCATACATCCGTGAAAGATTACTACAGTATAATAACTGGACATAATCCCAAACTTCTTTTGTTGTCTCACAATGAGAACACATGTAAGCAATTCGTGGCTCCATAGAATTCCATATTGCTCCAAGAATTTGGGCATCCTCTTGAATCCACATTAGTTTCTTGTTGTCCTCCGTAGGAGAGTCATCTGTGAGATATCATTGCTTTCCTAAGTCTGTCAGATAAATCTTAATGGCTTTTGACCACTGTTGATAATTAGTGTCATTCAACTTCCAATTTGTGATTTGAGACATCACTATTGGCATAATATTAGTAGACGTCGCAATACCTTTTGATAGACTTTCAGCTATAGCGAATAGCACTCCAAACCAAACGAAGGGTCAAAACTGGAGATGAACAGCGCGTGAACAATGCCGTGAGCGCGTGAATAGTGCCGTGAACAGTGAACAGTGCCGCGTGAACAGTACCGATGAACAGTATCACATGAACAGTCGCGATAACCAAAACTTTTGCTAGATGTTTAACCCTAACCCTAGGACTTTTGCTCTGATACCATGACAATAGGTATCTTGGGAGGAAAACATCTAATCACCATATTATGAGTGACCAACTAATATTTATAAGAGTATAAATTTAACTGACTATTTACAAGAATACCCTTACTAATTTATTATCTGCAAGAATACTAATATTCTCCTAACACAAACTTTCAATGCATTCTTTAGTAGTCTGAATTTACTTTCTAATCAGCTTTTTGTCTTCAGCATTTAAATATTTTGTTGCACATAAAATTTGATCCAGTTTTGTTTGCACCTAGCAACATTCAATATACTACAGTTATGACTTCACAGATAAGGTCTTATTATGGGATTTCAAGGAATCTTTTAATAAAGTTCAAAGACGATACGATTGATGAAACATCAGTACTAGCCCAGATACTTAGCTCAGAATCTGCTATCAGTTCAATGCTTGATATGTCCATACGCTCATTACCTGGGATCATGGGCTTCCGCTCCAGCAGGTTAATTTGTTCTCAAAAATAATTTGCCTAAATTACTAAAGATTTATTTCTCATCTCTCTCTCTCTCTCTCTCACAGAGACACAAACACAGGCACGCATGCACATGCACACACGGAAACATGCGCAAAATTGGGCAGGGGAACTTGTGTCCAAATAAGATTCATACTTCATTTCTTGCTTGATATGTCACCTATCAAGGTTGAATGTTCAGGCTCTGCCAGATGTTCCCCCAGCAATGGCAGATGCGGTGAATCGGGGTGGAGAGTTTTTGGCATCTTTAACTGCGGGGACACCATGGGAGACAGTTGCCAAAGAAGTAAGCAATTCTCTTGGCAGGGACGCGAGACTTGTTCGTCCAGAAATGTCCAAGGACATGGACCTCCTTGTCAATGTAATGACTTCCTGGATGAAGGGAAACACAAGTACAAGACTTTTAAGGCCCTGATCAATCAATGACCATGCTAACGCTTTCAGCCTGCTGGAGTTACAGGTGGAGGAAAGGAAAAGACTTCAGACCTTCTTGCCCGCAATACTACCGTAACAATGTTGATATTTAACACTGTACTATAATATACAGAATTAAAACTTCGAAAGCTTGGGCTATAACCCTCCTTGTAGTGTAATAACTTGGTTGATGAAAGCAAATACAAGTACCAGACTGCTAAGGCCCTTATCAATCCACGTCTAACTCTTAAGGGGTTTCTCTAGTGGCGTTGCAGATGTAGGAAAGTAAGGACTTAGACCGCTCTCAAGTGTACGGAAAGCTGGAACCATAATAGGAGATAAATTTGAATCTGCCAAGTGATCCCTTGTACATCTATTTTGGCATTACTAGTTTTATTTGGCATCCATTTGTTAGTACCTCATTATTTGTTCCCTTGTACATCCCGAAGTTACAGGAAGTTGTGCACGGTTACTCTTAATCTCCAGTGAATTGGGATAAATAGAATTACTTCAGCCCCTTTTCAGGCATTTAACCAAAAATATACACAAATCAAAACAATTTGCCAAACATCCTGAAAACTGTTTTGAGATAAAAAACCAAACGGCGTCAACCAAATGCTGGGCGACTAAAATGATCGTTATCCCTACGACCGTACGTCCTAGCACTACATGCACAAATGAGGAAAGCATTCAGTCATGCGCAGAAAAAGGCATCCGTTCCTGCAATTGCAAAATAGAATACTTCCGCACCCGAGAGAGAGAACTGAAACCGTCACTGAAGGCTTCTGCTTTGCCCGGATTAAAAGATGTCCAATTTCCTTATCCCAAGATAACCACCCGCTTTCAAGCACTGAGATGCGTCTGCTGTTGTAGTTGCTGGAATGGAACTGACAAATAAGCTAATCCAACAATCTTAAACAAATGCTTAGTACCCTAAATGACCTTCGACATCCTAAATCCTGGTAACTAGGATACCTTCAACCTACCAACTCTTTGCACATGTGCCCTTTAGTTTACCAACCCTGATTTGACCATTCGGTGTAGGATTTCGAAGTTCACGTCTGCCCAGTTTACCATTTGAATTGTGAATCACCATCCAGGTTGCAAATACCATCACGACTTTTACCTCCACATTAGCGTGCTGTGACCTCACTATCAAAGCATCATATAATCATGTTTCTCCAAAACAACATATATATGCTATAATTTCAAGCTGATTAATTGCAATTGTTTCTACCAGGAAGCCTATTTAACTACATCTGCAATTACAGTTTTCCCTGCCTTTCCTATTTTATGAAGAAATGGCGAACTCACACAGGTGACGAGAGACAAGGTGAAAACAGGAAAGGGGAAGGGTACTATTATCTCCAAATTCAACATTCCCAAATTCACAACCACCACTTAGTCAATATAGAGCAATTCATAGCCACCCTGTGCCAATATCTCTATTGACGACACGAGGGAAAAAGACATGTGCCGTATTTCAAGATAACATGTACAAACAACATTGAAACATGTTCTCAATAACAACTTCTGTGACTAGGCTATTAATCATGATAGAGATATAAGCCTAGTCCAAATCGAGCACATGCTCGGCAAAATGCGATTTCCTCTGCTGCAGCTACAAGATCTACAACCTGGTCATTGCTGGATGACACAGTCCCAGTTGATTCCCGGTGTGCCTGCACAAATTGTAGGAGGAAATATGCACTTCAAACATATATTGGAGCAAAATAGTGTATACTTACAACACATGCTAAAACAAATTTAGCAACCAAGATACAAAACTTCTCTCTGAAGTGTCTAAATCCAACCAATGGTCACAAGTACTCCATAGGCCAAGCTAACGTGTAGTAGCCTAGTTGGATAGCCAGGTTGGAAGGGTGGATGGGGGGTGGCGCGATGCCCACCCTTAACCTCAGGGGCTTGCACAGCAGGGAAAGTAATTAAATAGATACACAAAAGAGGATGGACATGGTCAACCATCATACTGAGCTAAACATGAACTGAACGCCTGCGACATCTAGGAGATCTTCTGAAATCCAGACAATTATTAACATCGAGGTGGCTATATGTACTACCACTATTAAGTTTTGGAAATCCTCTTGTATGCATTACAATAGGTTTCCATATCTTAGGAAGAAAAAAATACTTCCCAACCCACTATAAAGGTGTTTTACACTGGAAAAGCCACATTGACTGTTCACTAGACTTTTTCAAATTGACATGTCAATGGATAGAAAATCCCCACTGGGTGATCAAAAACAGATTTCAGAACAAACATAGCCTTCGAAAGTGTTGCACTTCCTCCTACACTAATCTAGCTAAAGACCTCGTATTCAGCATATTACAATAGAGCAACATATCTAGTTCTGATATTGATGGGCAAAAATTGGTTATGATGGCAAGGAGGCCACACATGGGCATATATATTATGAACTGCTCATAAAAACGTAGTAGCCAATTAGAGGATAACATCAATTGAGCCTTTCCAACATCGATCTATTCAGTTTGGGCACCTCAACATCAAAGTTCAGTCTAAGGCAGCCCTCCTACCAACTCAGCCACAACTTGACAACCAATTCAACACTTGGCATCATGTGTACTAATAAATTGGAATGATGGCACAAGAATAAAACATTTGTAAGCATTCCATGTATCCCAGGTGGAGAACCTGCAATTGTAATAAATGCAGTCTCACACTAGTTATCTGGCAGAAATCTTTTAAATTCAAATTCAGCTGAACAGTTCTCTGCTGCATAATTTTGTTTCGATGCCTTCCAAGAGTAGATTTGATGGGAACATGTTAAATTGCTAGCTAAAATTACAGAAATTGCTTGTGAAAGAGGCTAATTTGCAAAAGAATTTCAATATTTAGGAGGCAAAACAAAGATTCGTTTGCGCATCTAAACTGGTGCTTCCTATAACCATTCCTTGTTCTTAATGCGCTTTATGTATGGAAGCCCGCACTATGAACAGAAGCAAAGCTTTTTAAACTATAACCATTCTCGGACATCCATAACAACAGAAAGAGACGAGCAATTAGGGAAGTAGAACCTAAATCTATTAAGCTTTTAGCTATTCTGAATGAAAAACGAAGAAACCAAGTGATGCAATACATCTCTACTTGTGCAAGTTGATTGATGCCCTAGAAAGTGGACCACATCAAAGGGAAGGAACAAGCCATACCTCACCATCCGAACCTCGTATGGTGACACGGTAAACCACTGTAACACTTCCATTCTCAGAGAAAATAACGTCGCGTATTTCACCACACCAGCCTGCAAAAGAAGTGAAGAAGTCCATGATGGAAATGTAAGAGGCGAAAAGAAAAAAGAAAGGATAACTAATCTGCAGAACTATTGAAGAGCCAAGATATGAACCAAGCACAGACTAGAAAGGGCATTTGGTAAGCAAGAATTTCTTTTTTCTCACAACCATCGCAAAGACGAAATGTAAATGGGGACGATGAATGAAAAGAGAAATTATGGTGATAAAAAATGAGAGCCGTACAACATAAGCACAAGGGTTCGAACTTCTCCGACCTTTAATTTAATAAAGAAAAAAAGTGAAAGATAAATCAGTAGTGTAAGAAAAGCAAGAGATAAGGAATTTAATTGGCTAGAGAAAGGGGAGGGACATAGTAGTGATGTGAGACATTACCTGGGCATAAAAGCTTAACATGCGGTTGGCATGGTACCTAGCAGCAAAGCAAAGAAACAGGAAGACACCATTTTTAATTAAACAAAAAAAAAAAAAAACACACACTCGCATCAGTCAGACCGACAACGCAACGCAGTAGTATTCATATTCACTAATGACTTCATACTCGGAGTCAATTTATTGTTTATTTACTTAAGGGCAGGGAGGGAGTGGGAGACGACAAGACAATAAGCGCAGGTACAGGCACAGGCACACCAACCAGGGATGAACGTAGGATAATGATCCCGATCCAGATGCGGAGCTGATTTGATGATGTTATCTGGAATTCTCTTGTTGAGGTCTCGAAGGATCTCGGCGAGCGGCGAGTGATGCAGGAAGACTTGTCCAGCGGCACCACGTAATTGGAGGAGGAGGAGGATGAGGACGACGACGAGGACGGCGGCGGCGGACTCCCTTTCCTAGTATCGCCATCGTTGTTGTTTTTGGTGTTTTGCGCACTGCCGCTGCCGCTATTGATATTAGTTATTCCATCGCTGCCTCCACCGCCGGCGCTAATATTTCTACCGCGATCCGCAGCTGACACCCGCAGTGTTCTTCTATCGAGTATGATACAGCTGCTTCTGAAATGAAGCTGGCTCAGTGTCACACGTGTCCGATCCCGGCTGAACACCACAGGTAAGCAAACCTCCGACGACGGCCGTCCGGATGTTGTCCTCTGAATTAACATTGTCAGCTACTGGCGGCTAAACACTCCCTCTACCAAACTCTGCCCTTTTTCGCTTTTCCTTTTTCTTTCGTATTTTTACCCCCTGCTTTCCAAATTTAGCACACGAGGTTGGAGTGGTTGGTTGGTTACTGGTTAGTAGTCGTCCTGCACGTAGCAGAGCAAAGAGCCCGAAAGTCCAAAGTCCAAACCATCCCTTACCTACTCACCAAGGCCGTTTGGACTCATTTGGGTTGTTGGGACTCTGGAATTGGGAGTTTCGAATTTTCTTCTTTTATTTTCGCTGTTGATTGAATTGGCTTGATTTGACTAATGGCAATGGGGTTGATTTGACTCTGGATTTGACTAATCGCCTTCCTCGAACTTCAACCCTAAGATCGCTCCGCTCACGTGAATTTTAAGTATTACACTTTATATCTCACGCTTAATTTGTTAAGGAAATTAAACTGAAGGTATATTTTGGATGACCAAATTACCTCAAGTTCATTCTTAATAATACATATAAATAATTGTAGTATGGTACGTGCTTATTTTGTCAACAGTTCATAAGGTTGCATTTGGTTCTATAATCTATAGTGTTGGTATTGAATTAGAATCACAATTCTGTGGAATTGTCATCCTATGAATTGAAATTTTAAAACCTCAGCATTCTTTTATTTGGTAAATAAATGTATAGAATTGATTAGGAACTCAATTAGAATTCCAAATCTTTTGTTTGGACGGAACAAAATTCATTAAGAATTATAATTGCTTTACATATGGAATTTGCTTGCATAATAATTCCTGTAAGAATTCTTTTCTGCTTTCAAAGAATTAAAATATTTTATGCCTTGTAAGTAAAAAGAATCCGTTTGGATTACCTATTTTTGGGGGTGTTTTTTAAAAATTTTACTGTAGCAGAGTTTTTAGATTATATTTTGGGATATTTTCAGAAAATATTTTGGGATATTTAAGAGTAGAAGAGTTTCTAAAATATATTTTGAGATATTTTTTGAAATTTTAAAAAAATTTAAACTAATTTTTAGATTATCTTTTAGAGTATTTTTTAAAAATTTTTATTGTATTTGAAAAAATGATTTTTGAAAAACAGCTTATGACATATGTTTCAATTATTCTAGCATGTACATGGGCTACCTCAGGCATTATTCAGTTAGATGACTTGAACAATTCAATTTAGTATTTCGCCATCTTTTACCTTTTTAATTTTTATATTATGTGACTTTGTGTTTAGATAGAATGTTATTTGACATATTATTTGGAATAATTACTATATTGTTATCCAACAACCACTATATATATATATATATATAGATATATCAAACAACCACTGTGTATAGACATTAACGTCATCTTAACAACAGTTTGAATGGAAAGTTTATCATTAACATTTAGCTAGTCAATATAGAAAGTAAAGTGTATATATTTAAATTTTAGGGGTCGAAAGTGGTTACAAAGAATCAAGTTCAAGAGGACAAAGTGTAATTGGCCCTAATTAATATTCAAAAAAAAAAAAGGAGTTCAAAAGGAAAATTATGGCACAAGAAAAGATTTAGACGAGCTTAGATTGGGAGTTTATAAGAGGAGAAAAGAAAAGAAACGATGAGGATAAGTTATAGAAGAAAAGGAAAAAATGATTTTCTTCTCAAGTTAATTGGAAATCTAGGAAAGAAAATAAATAATTTTGACACATTGCATTTTTATACACTGCCAGTGTATCATTTCCTTTACACTAATAAGTTTAGATCAATGCCATATAACATAAATTCAAAATTGATACTAATATAAAAATATCACTACATTGTTAGTGTACAAAAAAATTATTCTTATGATTTGATTTTTTAACATTTTGTGAATAAACTTAGCATTTTAAATACAATGATTAAGTGAAACTTTCCTTTCATTTCTTCACATTTTAAGGAGGAAAATTATTTAACCAATCTATCCCTCCATTTCCCCTTCTTTTCCCTCCAAATCTCGACTCCCAACTAATCCTAAATGTCTCAGTATGTGTGTGTGTGTGTGAGAGAGAGAGAGAGAGAGAGCGGGGGAGGAATAGCATGCTGAATTACAGTCTATCCTTTGAGAAATGAAAAATTAGTGAGAAATGAAAAATTCATTTTTTGAAATGTGAGGGATGAAGAAATTTATTTTGTGAAATGTGAGAGATGAAAAAAAATCATTTTATAAAATGTGAGGGACGAAAAAATTTGTTTTATAAAATGTGAAGGACTATAGATCAAATTATGTAAAATATAATTTGACAAATTTACCTTTCAAAAATGATCACGTGCCTTGCACACAATGAATTCCAGCCAAAAATGATCGGAAACCTAGTTAGGGACTAAATTTGTCCGATGTGAATATGTTAGGAATATAAAATTACACTTTTAAATGTGAGGGACGAAAAAAATTATTTTATAAAATGTGAGGGACGTTTTGGACGATTTTCCCTAATATTTTCATCATTTCAACTACGTTATCATTATACAAGAACTACCAAAATAATTTCACTCGTCACGTTCATACAAAATATACTGTATAACCAAAAAGCATGGGATGAAAGAGTGAAAGCCTGGGACGGAGGAAAGAAAAAGGCTCACGAGCGCACTTGGACTCAATTCAGCTCCATGATTCTTTAGGATCAATTTTGATCCTAAAAATTGCACCCTGCCATGTTGTCAAATAACCTGATGTACACAAACAGATTGAAGATGACCTCAACATTGTAAATCCATGTTTGCTGCACTTCTTGGTCGGATGCCACACTGTGAATCATGTAGGAAATTGTGTATCCTGCCAATCATCTCAATATTTCAGCAGCAATAAAGGATATATATACCATATAATGTTCTCTTGCTTACTTTATTAAGCTTTCCAATGAAAATCCGTTCTACTTCGCCACGGAGAGTTTCAACATCCTTTGCATACTCGCTATAATTCTCTTCCATTACTAACTGCTGTAATTGCTGCCTCATCTTTTCCAAGGCTGCATCTAACCCACAAAACTCTTTGAAAACTAATGCTTCTGTCCGCAATTGTAAAAGGTTCTTGACTGCATAGAGTGCCTGTTATTGCATTATTATATTCAGCAAAGAGGAATCGCGTACAGAATACTTGCCAATCAGTAAAATGGCATCCAAAGAATGGTACACGAGATCCTTCCTTTTTAATTTGAAATATTTTTCATACTTAGTCCAAAAATTGAGCATTTCAGAGAATATGTGGAAAGTTTATATTAAACATGCACAGCATGAACCCCCGTTCCAGATTTCAATGGCCACGCTAAAGAGATACCTTTTCCTGGAGATCAAGGTCCACTGATGCAAGTAGATCAACCACAGACCTCAAAAAGAAATGATTGTGGAAGAAATGGGGCTCTGGATTACTCCCATTTTCTAGCTGACACTCAGCCAGGTCAGCCACGAGTAGAACAGACTTCTTCTGTATTCTTATGTCAATGCTTGAGTTGCTCAGGATATCCTGAAAGAATGAACCATTGTAAACAGTGATATTCACACTAATAACTGTAAACAGGGCAGAAATGATTATTTGACGGAACTGCCATATTACATTTAACTATATGATCACCTGAATCATCAACTCGCCAGCTTCAGCATAGAAAAGTTCTTGCCCAACGAAATTATTTCTGATTAAAGCTGAAATAGCAAGTAATGCTTTTATGGCTTCCTCAACAAACTCAGATCTTGCCATCTTGATCAGCTTTGCCAGAGCATCAAGTTCCAGTACCTGCGATCCTCATTGTTCAGATGATGTTTCTTGTAAGGAAAATTGTAAAATGCGCAAGAATTCCAATCAAAGACATATTATTTAAAAAATAAAAATACCTGCTTTTGAACAACAGGGTTATTTTGGCAGGCTTTGCCAAGAATGAGTGCAGAAGCAGTCCTGACTTCTTGCTCGGGGTGATTTAGTTGTTTTATAACTATAATGAGACCACCAAGTTTGTGCAATTCTGAAAAGAAATGTTTATGTCTTATAGACCTACCAATAGAGAGAAACGCTACTTGAAAATTCCCAAAAGAAAAGTGGAAGGCTGTACTTTGTGCCTCCACAATTATAGCTTTCTTCCAGAACAAGCTACAAGCTCTTTGGCTTATTATATCCAACAGAAAAATACAGGAAACAGTAGCAGCACATAATTTACGAGATACAGAACTATGGAAAGTGCTATCATGTGAGAAATTCTATTGATGGATCACCAATTATGTACAAT